ACGCAATGAGGCTAAATATATCCTTCGAAAGGTATCAAAGAAGATTAGTTGCATTGCTATCTACTCTGAAGTTTTTTTGGCAATAACTGCAAAAGACCCAAAAACAGGTTTTTGCCTATAGCTTAAAAACGCTTTTTTGGGAAAATAAATTAGACTTATTTTCACGTTTAGCGCCCCTAAATTAGTCTAAAAAACATTTTTAGCGAAGTAATTTTTTCGTGTAAACTAGTGTAATTAATGAATTCGTAATGTACCTATCTAATTTTTTGTTTGTTTTCTTTTTACGAGTTTTAAGCTCAGAATGTTTGTTTAGAATGAAAACTTTATGTGCATAAATATGTACCTAAACAAAAGTAATATTTTAGAAAATCGTTCTAAAAAAAAAAAAAAAAAAAAGTTCAATCAATGAAACTAGCCCTTTTCTTAGCTCTAAAATTTTTTACTTAGCCCTTTCTAGCCCTTTTTTCTGGAGATTCTAGCCCCAAATGAATATTGATTTCTGGCAACACTGAAGCAGGTAACCTTAGTCTTGTGCAAGTGATATTCTTAACGTAGATAAACACATGCAAAAAATTCAATGCCGTTTAGGTGTTAAGGCGGCCGTCGCGACGCATCGTAGCCTAGCGGTTAGACTTGCGAACTTCCACCTAGGTTCGTTCCCTAGTCAGAACAACATAAACAAGTATTTCTAATAGCGGTCGCCCCTCTGTCCGTATTTATTCCGGCGATTCGGAAATCGTCAAAATGAAGACCCAGTGGAGTGAGTGTAAAAAACAGATGAAAATGTCTTGAATCGGCGCAGTCATTAGTGTTAAATACCTTAAGATTTTGACGCGGTTAAAAAATGGTTTCAAAATGTTTCGATAAGCATAAAATTTATAAACTACATGAGCTAAATTCTCTCACAAAATGTATTTTTTTGAGAATGTATATGTATTATTTAGTAGATACTTAAACGCAAACAATAAAGAAAAAAATAATATATATATATATATATTGGAAAAATTCTTTAAATATAAATTGGCAATGAGAATGACAGAAGGTCAGTTTTAGGATCTATTACGCAGGCCTGTTTTTATTATTTTTTTTAATACCTTCATAGTTATGTTATATTAAAATACAACTTTGTGTTTATTTTTCAAGCACATAGAGATTGATTTTATTGAAGAAATACATATTTTAGAATTTATAACGATTTTCATGTAACCCTTACATACATAAATAAGCGAAATTTTCATACGAAAGAATAAAATTGTGCACAAGAAAATTAGCAAACTCAATTTGATTAGGAATTTAACTTGCATAGGGTATTTTGGTCGGTTAATACATGAAGCGCCCGTTCTAAAATTTTTAAAAAGTAAAAAAAAAAAATAAATTCAAACTGGTTAGTTATCTACATAAAGAACAAAACTGTGTTACCCGACAAAATAGTCGAAGCATAAAGCGGCTTTAAATTAGTTTAAATTTAAACTGAGTTTAAACTAGCACTGAACAACTGGTATTAAATACTTAATTTATTGCTTTAAATCATAGAGTCTAGCGACACGGGGGTTTTAGGTATTCTACATACATACCTATATAGTTCATTCTTTAACAAAACCCGCATCAATTAATCAAAATAATACCATTCATTAATTGTGATTTCGTATTTAAAATCAGGGTTGCATTTTCCATACTTAAATAGTCGACGTTCGACGTTTAAGTAGAGTTTTAATTTTTGAACTGAAAATTAATAGATATATTTTAGTCATCAATCAAGCACTAAAATTGCTACGCTGCTGAAATGAATCCTAAGTAAGTCAGAACGACTTATCTAGATACGATGTTAACGCTAGTAAAACACGATTATACTATGGAAAATTAAAAAGAAATTGTCTCCGAAAATCTAGCCAAATTTGCTACATAATTACCTCTTTATGTAGGAAATCATTGAAGGACTGACTGTGCTATCATTGCCCCCTTTACGGTCGCTTCAGCCGATTGGTTAGAGGTTCGTACTACCACTCCGTAGGTCCGCTTAAAATCCATTTGCCTTTCGGCGGCCACCAAATGCGTAGCAAAATTAACCTATTTCCCGTCTTCAAAAGAGTCACAACTCAAAATAATACGTTCGTCAAAAGATGCGAAAAACTACATACAAATTTTGTAACAAATTATAACAAAAATTTTCTTCAGCGCATAATTTCAAAAATGCCAAATTTTGAGTTGTGAATCTTTTGAAGACGGTGGTGTGCGATATATATATATTTCCGAGAACAACTTTTGCTTGCAATGACATTTATTTTAAGATACATATGTACATTTTCAAGAGTTTAAATGAACTTAAGGATAGAAATGTAAGGCATGCAAACGAAATGCCTCCCCGCAATACATACATATGTACGTACAAGCTTCCAGCATATTTTTCGCCTACTTCCAACAAATTTTAGGCCAAATTTGCATAAAACTCTGTATGGGAATGCAACGATTTTGCATATTTAAATACATACATATCTACATATGCAGTATGTAAATGCAAGTAAATATGTCACTACAGGCATAAGAATGGCGGCGGATATGTAGGTTTTGGTGCGATGTTATCCGAAAATTTTGAATGACGTTTTTCGTCTGCCAAGCGACGACTGCGCTGCCCGCTGCCCGCTGCTCGCTGCTGCCATGCTGTTGTTGCAAGTAAATACACATGCACTTATATATACTTTCCTATACTCATGCAACGCTATGTATGTACATATGTATGTATGTAGTGTGTAGCTAACACTCCGCCCCCATACAGCGCAACAACAACAATGCCGACAATTCAATGTCTGCCATTGCGTCTGGTCGTGCTGCGTCGAACAATATGCACAGACAACGCATTGTATGCTGCTGCTGCTGCTGCTGCTGCTGTTCTTGTTGTTTTTTGGCCCCTTGCCTTTTGCTGTTACTTTTCCTATTGTTGTTGTTGTTCTTGTTGCCTTTGCATGCGTAATTGTTGCATCAAGCACAGCGCACAGAGTTTTACAAACAAACAAATAGACACATGTGCGCGCACACACATACATATGTATGTATGAACATTCATTCATGAGGTTGCATGCAACAGACAGTCAGCATGGAGAACAATAAAAGCCAATCTGGTAGCAGCGCCGCACACAGCAAATGAAAGCTGCGAATGGTAGGCGCTCGCGCAAGGGAAGGGGCAGGAGCGGTCGGACGCGCGCTGGTAGATAGCAAAAGCCAGCGCGACGACACAGTTTGATATTTCAGCTGAGTTTTTTTTTTTTTTTTGTTGTGCAAATTTGTAAATGTACATAAGTATGTATGCAAATTGTATGGTGGGCGGAAGGTCACTGTAAGGTCAACAACAGCGCGTATACAAATAGACTTTAAAATATTTATGAATTTTAAGTTTTCCGTTAAGCGTGAAGCAACAGCAGTACGCTGGCATTTTTGGTAGCTGGAATACAGAGTAAGGAGCTGCAGTTAAACATTTTTAAAGAGTTTAGAATTCACGTATTACTACAAAAGTATGCGCGCGTTCCATATTTATAGCTACGCGCTCGCCTAAGAAAGTAAAATTTGAATGCGGCGCTTTTAGTTAAATGCTCAGCGCTTAAGGAAAAATTTTATAAAATCCATTTTTGGACCAGTGCGCTAGAAAACGTTGGGAAAATCCATAGGATTTCCGCACATACCGCTGCTGGTTTACAAGTGCTACGCCACCACCACATGCCGCCACATTACATACATTGGCTAACTAATGTAGCAAGTTTTTCCACAGCGCGCATCAGATTTTCAGCTTACTGTCTACCGTTCAATAATCAACCCGGCAGCACGAAGCGTCAGCATCTTCCGCAGTCGGCTATGACGAGCGCGCGCGAGCACTTTCACACGAACGCGTATACTACGCAAGCTTGAAATGTGGCAACAGTGTTTGCTATAAACCGAGGCACGAAGCAGCCCAACCAATACGCGTTGATTTTTATAGCACACTACGTAGCGGTGCAGCCAACGTCAACAGCGCGCCGCGGCATACGCTTCAAACTTCAGCAATGTATATTACGCGTAGTTTCGAGTAATCGATTTCATAGCCGGCACTGGGAAAGTTGTAGATGTCAGTGAAGTGACAACGGTGGCGAAGGCGGCGGCGGATAGCCGCAAAGACACATTTAGCCCGACGACGTCCAGTCTGCCGCAACAACGTCCGCCGTAGATTCCACCGAGAAAACATGCCACAAGCAATCGAGTTAAGCGCGCTTGCTAGTCAGGTACCACGCGCGAAAGTGGTAGAAAGAGTCAGCGCGCGGTAGTATGCTGTTCACCCGGTAAAGCCACTAGTGCGCGCAGTATAGCACCATTGCCAACCGCCATAACCCCTCCCTACCATGGCGCGTTGGCATGCCGATTGGCCAGCTGGTTGGGTGCGAGCTATGCTATGTCGCATGAGCTGCGCATAATCCAACCCACTGACGGGGGAGCCAGCCGCAGCATACAACGCAACGTCAGTTGACTGTCACGGAAATTTGATTTATTTGCCATGCAACGCACGGCAGCACGGAGCATACTAACACCAGCGCAGCCAACATGCGCTTAAGCGCTGGGTAAGCGCATGCATACACATATACATACACGCGCGCTATAAACATATTAGCTCTCCTGCCAACCATCTCCTTCCTATGCACAGGCGCGCTACTGAATGCCGACGGCGCGTGAGTGAAAACACTTGCTCGTATGTTTGTGGTAAGCTAGCGCTGTGCGGCGCGCGTGTGAGCAGGCTAGCTAGCGATGCTCTAGGGGTGGCTAATGCGAAGCGTTTACCTAGCGTGCGCGTGTACACACACAAGTGCATGTGGATGTATGTCATACACAGCCACGACTGCATTTCTCAGCGCGCATACACACTCACATTTATATGTGAGTTTTTCGTTTATGCCGAGAGCCACAGCCACAACTGAGAGCATTTGTGTGCGAACAAATGCTCGTGCATGCGGCTGCTGCTGACTTCGTGTAATCTATTCGTGTGCGAGCGCACAGCAGCCTCGCACAGTCAGCACCTCGAACAGGTTTCATGCTCGTCAATCGAAAACAGAAAGGTGCTCAATTCAGTGCAGTGTGGAGGTATTCGCGCGTTGATGCTCCGCGGAAATTATAAAAATTTATTTCACATATTTTATGGTGTATAGGGAAAAGACAACTCACTCAATAAAAGAATAATGAAAACAATTTTGCTGTTCAAGTGAAAAATTCTAAGAAACAAAAACGCGCACGAAAACAAACGAATTCTTTGGTTGGAAACCAAAAAGAATATAAAGCAGCCAGCTACGGATGTTAAAAGTGAACTTCCAAAAAAAAAATAAAAATTCTGAAAAAAATAAAATTTTTGCAAAAAAAAAAATTATTTGAAAAAACTTCATTTGCAAGTCAAAAAAGCTGTTAATAAGCAAACAGCAATAGAACTAAGCATAAATTTAAGTTTCCTGCGCGATTAGTGAAAAATCTGTATTCGCATAACGGCATGCAACGGCATAACGGCGACTGACGTAAAGCGACGCGTTTTCGAAGTTGCTGAACGCAAAAATCGTAACAACACTTTCTACCTGCTAAACTGTCTAGAAAGTAGCGAGTGATTGAACAAAGGCACAAAATAGAAAATAAAAACAAAAATTTTGTTAAAAAAAAACATACGAAATAACAGCGTTGCAAAAAAGAGTTGTGAAAAACGGAGTTGGCTATTAAAACACAAAAAAGTGGTGTCAGTTGAAATTTGTTGAAATTCGCAGTGCAAAAAATACTTGAAAAAAATTAATAGCAGCACTCGAACAAGTGCAACAACAACACAAACAATCCCTAACGCCACCACGCTGACGTAGCGGAACTTGAACAAAAAAAAAAAAAACAATTAAAACAAATCTAACACCTCAAATGTCACATAAATAATGGTTTCATATAAGTGCAAATTAATTAAAAACGCCTTGCTACAGTGTGCCACAAAAGTGCGCGTCCTAAGCACCTAGGTGCGGAAAAGAGCAAAACTTGAAAAAAAAACCGCAAACGAATCCGTTGAAATCACTCAAAACAGAAACTCTTTTCGCGAAAACCTACAACTTTCTGACGCGCGCTCGCGCCTTCCCTTCCACGCCCCCCTTTTTAACTCCAGCAACCGTGTTCGCCATACCGCCACATCCGCACCACCACCAGCTGCAGCAGCACCACGCAGACATGCTGACCATGGAGTCGGATATGAAAGGCGGCATCCTGCATGCAACCATGCCGCCGCATCACGCCTCCGCCGCTCTACACGGCCATGCCGCTTCGCCCTATAGCGCCCTCGGACCGCTCATGAATCTCGGCCAGTCGCACTTGGCGCAGTCACATCTAACGCAGCATCATCATCATCACATGGCCTCGCACTTGGCCAGTAGTGGCGGTGGCGGCGGCGGCGGTCAGCAAAGCGCACTTGTCGGCAATGGGGGCAGCCTATCTAGCAATCCGCTTAGCTCACTCCAGTCTAGCATGGCAAATACGTTGAATGGCAATGGCGGAAGCTTACAGCAGCATCAACAACAACAGCAGCAGCAGCAACAGCATGGCGGCTCACCGCTACACAGCTCACACAGCGACTTGAGTCCCACACAATCGAGCATTGGCAGCCATCATATGACCTCGCCGGGTGGCGGTGGCGGCCAGCAAACGCATCAACACAGCGGCGCCGGTAGCGGTGGTCATCATCACAGCGGCATGGGTGGCGGCACGCCTATTGGCAGTCAAGGCGCTGGCGGTGCGCCAATGGGTGGCAGTCACAATGTGAATAACAACAACTCAGCGACCGCCAATAAAAATCAACTAAATGCGGAGCGCGTGAAACGTCCCATGAACGCTTTCATGGTGTGGTCGCGCGGTCAACGCCGCAAAATGGCTTCGGATAATCCTAAAATGCATAACTCAGAGATTTCAAAGCGCTTAGGCGCGCAATGGAAGGATTTGTCGGAGGCGGAGAAGCGCCCTTTCATCGACGAGGCGAAACGCTTGCGCGCCGTGCACATGAAGGAGCATCCCGACTACAAGTATCGCCCGCGTCGCAAGACAAAGACCCTAACCAAGTCGAAGGAGAAGTATCCGCTGGGCGTTGGTTCACTGTTGCAGCCCACCGAATCGAATGCGCCCAACGTCGGGCGCAACTCAAGCGCCTCGTCGATTTCGGCCGCTCAGCAAGCGGCCGCCGTCAATCGTGATATGTATCAAATGAGCGCGCCAAATGGTTACATGCCCAACGGCTACATGATGCACGACCCCTCCGCTGCGGCGTATCAAAGTCAACATAGCGCCTACATGGGCAACTACCACCGCTACGATATGGGTCAAATGCACCAGGCGGCCGCTGCGGCCGGTTCACTAAACTACATGAGCCCGGCGGCGAGTAGCGGCTACAGCATGTATGGCACCGTTTCGGGCGGTCAGACCTCACCGTATGCCAGCATTCAGCAACCCGGCTCACCATACAGCAATGTCCAGCAACAGCCCGGCTCGCCGTATGGCCTCGGTGGTGGCGGCGGCGGCGGCGGCGGTCAGCCTGGCTCACAAGTGTCCTGCCAAAGCCACAGCCCCAGCGATTCCAGCATTAAATCCGAACCCGTGTCACCCAGTCCGATGCACAGTCAAGCGCAACAAAACTCAGCTGCCGTACTCGCCGCCAACAACAACAACAATCACATAATGAAGCGCGAATATGGCGCGACGCAGCAAACGTCTGATCTGAATCACCTGATGAATATGTATCATTTACCGGATGGCATGCAGGCATCAGCAGCTGCTGCAGCCGCCGCCGCGGAGCATCAGCGCAATCTGATGCACTACCAGAATAGCTCGCCAGATTTGCAGCAACAACACGCGCAACATCAACAATCGATGCGCGCGATGGCGCCACTCGCTCACATGTGAGAAATGGCCAGTGCCTATGGTCAGTCAGCGCTCGCAATCGCCCCAGCCGCATCATCCACCAATGCCTCCGCCGCCAATGCCATTGCCACAGTTGCCGCAGCCGCTGGTACGCCGTCCGTTACGGAGATGTCGGCGGCCGCGTCGGTTGAGATGGAGAATGGTTTGGCGGTGCCCCCAGCAGCCACGAGCACATCACCCACCCCGCCGCCGCCGCCCACAACGCTGATGCATCACTCGCATCATTTATCGCACATGCATACGCAACTACAGTTGGCGCATCAACGCCACCAACAGCAACAGCAACAACAACAACACCAGCACATGCAACAACAGCAATTGGAACTGGAGCCGCCGCCGCTTTCATCAGCAGTAAGCGCTTCAAGTTTGTCACTGGCGCACCATCTGCACGCGCAGCAGCAAGCCGAAAATGGCGGCGGCGGCGGCAATTTGCACAACGGCAACGGCTCTCTGCATGGGCAGTCGCTTGATGGCAGCAACAGCAACGGCGGCGTCAGCATGCTGCACAGCTATGTGAATGGGCTGAATGGCGGCCGGCCAAGCCCCACGGCCTCAGGCTCCTCGGGTGGCAGCCGCAGCTCGGCGCACTCAATGCCGCTGCCCTCGCACTCGCCAGCGCTGCAACATCACACAAACGGCGGTTACCTGCAGGCGGCCAGCTGCGCCTCCGCACTAACAGCCACCGCAACGGCGGTAGTGTCGACCACCATCATGGGGCGGCTGGGCGGCGGCAGTCAGAATGGTGGCCTGGCGGACGTAAACAACAGCAGCAATGGCAGTGGCAGCGGCAGCGACGGTATAGGCTTTGGCGGTCCATTGGCGCTGCTGCACCACCATCACCAGCATCACCACCACTTGGCGCCTCATCATCACCACCACCACCACCACCACCCCCACTCCATAACGCAACAGCATAACCATCCGCACGACGCATCCGTTGGACTGTTGGATATATCCACATTGTAAATTAGACACAAAGTAATCAAGTAAACTAAAGTAAAGTAATTAAATGATTAATAAAATTAAAACAAAAAAAAAAATAAAGTTTTAGCATTAGTTGTAAAGTGCATAAAAATAATTATTATAAATAAATAAATTTAAAACTAAAACAAAAAAACAAACATGACAAGTAATTTTATGAGGAATAAATTGCGCGCGGAAAAAATCTCAGAAAAAAAGGTAAAAAAAAATCTCTCAGAAAATAATGCGTGTAGGTACAGAAGGAGCAAAAAAATTTAATAGAAAAACTGTATAAAAGTAAATCCCAAAATGAGCGCCCCGCGCCCAACACGCCCTCAAATATTTTTTAAGCACCGCCGAAAAATAGAAAAAAAAAAATTAAAAAAAAAACAAATTTATTAAGTAGCGAAGTATAACAGCGTTTGAACAGCATTGCGTGCAGGGTATAACATTTACGCCAGCAGCGAGATACATTCCAGCAATTTTGCACCGAAAATATTTTATTTCGAATTTTTAATTCTTAACAGCAAACAGCAGCATTTAAATGGGAATTTCCCATTAAAGTTGGTAATTAAGTAATTAAAATACATATTTATGTTAAGTTTATTTCTCGTTTTTAGTTACAAAAATATGAACATTCGAAAAGTGTGATAGAGCGTTTAGTATAATAACGGAATGGTAAGCGTACGAGTAAACGTAAACAAGAATTTAATAAAAATTCGTTTATAAGAAAGAAAAAAACTTAAACAAAGTTAATTTTTATGTGGAGCAGAAACACAAAATTAAAAGGAAATAATAACTTTTCTTAAGGGCCGACGGAAGTTTTAAGGCTAGTGGCAGTTTTTTTCTTTTTTGTTGATGGCATATAGTTTTTTGTTTTGGTAGCGAAAAAAATTTGTTTCCGGGAAACAAATGCAAAAACAATAGTTAAATATTTTAAATTTTGTTACAAAAAAATTTTTGGCATAACCCGGATTTCAGTCAACTTTGGGGTTGGAAAAATTACACTCTTTTATTTCTGGAACGCTATAAAAACTAAGGGGCTCAAAAACATTTTGTAAACTTTCAAAATTAAGACAAAACCCTTTCAAAAAGCAACTTCAGGTAATTTTTAACAAAAAATATATATTTTATTTTCAATAGAAAAACGAAATATGCATTTAAACCCAAACAAATCGAATTTAAAAATATTTTGAAATAGCATGTTCGGTATATTTGCGAGTTCAGTCAACGTTAGGGTTGAAATAGTCAGCATTCTCCTTATTTTAGAAAATTTTTTGCATCCAAACAGTTTGCAAAACGAAAACTGTATTTAAATCCAAAATATAAAAACTTGAGATTAGTTGAAGCTCGTTTTTTTTCAATAAATTTTTCGGTATGATCCTGTATATAGTCAACCCTAATGGTGATTTATTTTCTACCGAAAAATGTTGCCTTCTCATTGCACCCTTCGCACAAATACTTATCTATAAGAGGGAAATGAGAAGCTAACATTTTTTTTGTAGGAAAGAAAACCCCATGAGATTCTAACAATCAGCTTTTTTCTATTTTTTAAAACCCAAAAACTGTAAAAATAAGGCTCACATGAAATTTTATTTGCATCTTCAAAATGGCAAAACTCATTTTAAAAAACTGTTGAAACATCAAAAATGGGTTTTAATAAATATACTAATTAAAAAAAAATTCTTAATCATAACTAAGATAAGAAACAAAAATTAAAAAGAAAAATTGTGATTAGCTGTTTGCAATTTTCCCCATGAACGAGATTCAACTTACATTTTAAACCTTAAAAAATTTAATTCACAATTTTGGGCTTAAATTTCTTCTGCATTTAAATAAAATTCTCGGTACAAATTAGAATTAATATGGAAAGCTTAAACTCCAAAAAAATAAAAAAATAAACAAAAATTTATAAAAATCTCCAAACATTAAAAAAAAATTATAATTGCCCGCTTGAAATTTCCCTATGAAAGAAATTCAGTTTAACTTTTAAACATAAAAAAAGTAAATTGAAAACCTTGCTGAAAATTTCCTCTTCTTTCAAATTAAATTTTCGGAACAAATTAGAATGGTTTAAAAAAAAATATAAAGCTAAAACCAAAAAAATAATAATTTGAAAATCTTAAAATTTATAAAATTCTCTAAAAACTTTCAAGAAAAAAATTTCTGATTGGCTGCTGCGAAATTCAATTTAAATTTTAAACCTAAAAGAAGTAAATTAAAGATACAAATTAAAACAAATTAAAAAATGGAAAGCTGGAAACCCCAAAAAAAAACATACAAAAAACTCTAAAATTTATAAAACTCTCCAAAAATGTTCAAAAAAATAATTCTGATTGCATGCTTGCAATTTTCCCATAAACGATATTTAATTTAAATTTTAAACCTTAGAAAATTTAAGTTTAAATCTTGCTGAAAATTTCCTCTTCTTTTGAATAAAATTTTCGGTACAAATTAGAAACGCTTAAAAAAATTTAAAGCTGAAAAAATTTGTAGAAGAAAATCTACTGGTTGCCTACTTACAATTTCCCCATAAACGAAATTCAATTAAAATTATAACCTAAAAAAAATAAATCAAAAGTTTGCTGGAGATCTCTTATTCTTTTAATTAAAATTTTCGGCACAAATTGGGATTAATTTAAAAATTGTAAAGTTGAAACTAAAAAAAAATTAAAAACTTAAAATCTAAAATATTCTTTAAAAATTTATTGTTGTAAATTTTAATATTTTTTTTGCGTTTCCATCTTTCCATTTTTTAATAGATTCTGATTTATATGTACATTTTATATAACATTCAAGTAGTATTATTCCATAAATGTTTTAAATAAATTCCTACATACATATATATTTATGTATGCATGTTTGTATAAAAATTTCTCAAAAAATTTTTACTTGTTTAAATTTCGTTGGCAGCACATGCACATAAATTTTCAGTGAATTAAACTATTAAAGATTTGCTTGCAATGTTTTTTTTTAATTTTTTGGTATAACCAAGACTTCAAGTCCCATTAGCTTGCAAAAAATTATACTCTGTCTAATTTTTATTTATTTATTTTTTTCAAATAAAGATAAAAATAAATACGAAGTCAGCATATATTTGCAAAATTTGGTGATAATACTGCGCAAGATTAAAAAATAATAATCAATAAGCTGCTTGCATGGTGGAAAACTTTTTATCACAAAAAAAAAATTAAATAAAATTTTGGTGTGAGTTAAGTCGAGTCTAACTATTCACTATTTAGTCACAAGAGATACAGAGTACGGCCTCCCGCTGACAAATTGTGAACCACAAAACTATCCTAAAAAGTAACTGAGATTGCTGTGGCGTGGTTTTTGCAATCCTAAGGACCGTCAGTATATCGCTATTTATAGTTTTTTTTGGCTATGCAAAAATTCTAACTATCCATCAAAGGTTTGGTTTTTGTTATCTATCGATGGGTCTTCAATGACTAAGTCTACAGATTACGCGATAATTTACTCGCGAAAATCTCGGTGGTGTCGTCCTACATGCGTAGATAGATCCGTTAAAACAGCCTTGAACGAAGTTTCTGGGCGTATTGGGCACTACACTATAAAGAATTTGCTATGCTACTCTTTCTTCATGTGGAGGGGGCTGTTTCGGGGACTACTACTTCTTTGAGAATGTAAATAGCTTATGAAAACGTCTTAGCAGGTCTACTGGGATGGTTTGAGGATAAGTTAAGTCAGGTCTAGGGAGAACTCCTACTAGGCAGTGCTTTTCCGAGAAGACGTTCTCTTCGGAAGAAGAAAGAAGGCGAAAAAACTTTATAATAATATTTTTTTTTTTATTTGACATAGTTTGTTTAGTAATTCATCAATTAACAAGCAGTTATTTTAAAATTTAGATAAATTTTGAAAAAGAATATATAATGAAATTTTTTAAATTATTAAAAATTTTCAAAATGTATCAAGAAGATTTGAAAAAAATTAATAAGGTTTAAAATTAATATTTTTTTTTTTAATTTTCAAAATTTAACAAGAAACTTTGAAAAACAAAAATTTAATAAGATTTTAAATTTGCTTCAGCAAATAAAAAATTTGCGTGTAAAACTAACTTTTAAAAACATGTTTATTTATTTTGACTTTTTTTGTAGACTCTATGATTTTTATCTGTTTGCATGCTACATTTCAATAAGAATTTTAAAAACGATTTATTTTGGAACGAATTTCCGTCATCCCTTGTCAAGTTTGGTTTTGCAGACAAATCGATTTCGGCGTTGTGCCATCTTCAGTGTCATTTTTAAAATCTTTAAAACGTTTTCTTGCCTGAATTTAGTTTTTGTCCTGTACACGAAAGATTGACTCGATGTTGATTACCAACTTTTTAATATTTATTCCAATCGAAAATTACTAAAAAAAAATAACAAACATTTAATTTTTTCCTTTGACTTAACACATTGCAGGATCTTTTTTTAAACAACTTCTATTAAAAATTTAAAACATTTTTTGCCTACCAAAATCAATGTAAAAAAATCTTATTAAACTTTTTTAAACTTTATTCACTTAAAACTTTTTATACAATTTTTAAAAATTTATTTATAGGCAATGTTTTACTGTTACATTTTTAAACTTTTAAAAACTACAGCTAGGTCTTTTTTCATATTTAGTAAATCAATTAAATTTTTCAAAAACAAACTAAATTTGTTAAATCGATTCTATCAGTGTTTTTTTTGAATTTATATTTCAAATTTATCTATTTTTTTTCATAAATTTTCATTTAGGATTCTTACTCTTTTATTAAATTTTTTTTAATACCTTTATAAAAAAATTGGTACTAATGTAATTCCTAAAAATATGTACATAAATATAATAAAATAAAAAAAAAAAGTTCAGCACATAAATCGCATCAAAAGGGGTTTATGGGCCGCATATGTAAATATCATATTTATGTACACAGAAAATTTTACGCTCTACAAAATAAGAAAAAAATGCCACGCCTTATTTTGCTTTTTTCATTTAACAAAAACTTCCGTCAAACGAAACCT